TAACGGGCGGTTAAAAAAAAAAAAAAGGTCCTCCCCCTCCCCGAAAATTTTTTTTTTTTTTTTTTTTTTTTTTCCTGGTTCTTCTGAGAATCCATCTTTGAGATTTACCATCAATAAAAGTCTGTGTGGACAGACTAATCACGTTTATTTGTGCAGCACATTTCAGCTTTACATCATGAAAACACAAAATTACAAAGTTATGAAGAAAACAGCACACAGTCAACAATTTAACAAGCATTACATTTGAAGAGTGAAATATGTTTCATTTATTATGTTTCTAAATCAGCTCTAAGCAGGAGGGGTTTAGTCTGGATTTAAAGGAACTCAGGGTTTCGGCTGTTTTGCAGTTTTCTGGAAGCTTGTTCTAGATTTGTGGTGCATAGAAGCTGAATGCTGCTCCTCCATGTTTGGTTCTGGTCCTGAGGATGCAGAGCAGAACCAGAACTGAGAGGTGTGGAAGGTTGATACAACAGCAGCAGATCTTTAAGCCGTTCAGGTATTTATAAACTAACAGCGGTATTTTAACGTCTGTTCTCTGAGCTACAGGGAGAGGTGGAGGAATGTTCTCCCTCTTCCTGGTTTTAGTGAGAATGCGAGCAGCATCAGCTGCAGGATTGATTTTACTGATTGCTATATTTCCATGTTGACTGTAGATGTTAAACTTCCGGCTGCTTCGGCTGAGGTTTTATTTAAAGACTGTTTGCTCAGCAGAGTTTTTGACAGATCGCTCAAACAGCAGCACAGATTATCTGCTGTGGTTTATCGAGATAAAACTGCGCCACCTGCTGTCAGGTCTGCTTCAACGCCTCATCTAATTATACAGGAAAAAACTCTCGGGGTTTGATTAATCACTCAAATTGCTGTCAGTCTTTGCAGAACGTCTCCATCTTTGGTAAATGAGGCAGTTAAACATGATAATTTTCCTAAATCCCTTTTAAACTGTTTATTCTCTCGTGAAAAAAGTATTTTCCCCTCATAGATGGTTTTACTTGGATGAAGACGGTTGGAAGATCTCAATAGCAAGATTCGTACGGGTGCTTGAAATCCTTGAAAATGCTTGACTTTTACAGATGTTTACAAAGTGCTTGATATTCAAACTGCACAGGTTTTTACTAAAGTACAATCTAACGTTTGATTAATTGGTTAGATTTGGAAAGTGTCATTTACAGTTGAAACCAGATATTTTTATACACCTAATGTTTTCTCTCTGTCTGAAGTTGAATCAAACTAAACTTTCTTGTTTTAGATAAGTTAGAATTACCAAAGTTACTTTGTTTTGTTTGTCGCTGCTGTAGGATGATATAATAGTGAAACACACTTGGGCCATTATCCATTAACATTCTCCTTGTTGCTAGAAGTGAAATAAAATTATTTTATAGACCATCAAAGTAGAATACAGAGAATCTCACATCACATTTTTCCATTTCATTTCATATCAATTTCGTATCAATCCTAACAACTATAAACTGCTTTATTTGTCTCTTAAGTATGATTCAAAATTTTAAACCTGATAGATTCATGAAAAATCCTACTTAAATTGTTTTAATATACCATTGTCATTCTAAACTTAATATTTAACCATTAAAATCCCTCTTTTAATCCCTAGCCTCTTGAACTATACCCTTCTGAAGTTCATCATGGCGCCTAAAATAATTAAGTGATGCAATTGCAAAGGGTTAATAGTTAGTCATGGAGAACTGATCTGACCATTTCCATAGCAACGATAAGAAGCAAGACATTCCCCCAGAACTACAGT